GCTTCGTCTTGCCGACTATCCCCGGCTTCGTCCTCCACGGCGGTTCCTCCCCGCCCCGTCCTGGCGCCGGCCGCATCCCCGCCCGCGGTCGTTCTCGTCTTGGCCTCGTCTTGCAGGGTGCTCACGCCCTACCCTGCGCCGAGGAGGCGCAGAGGTGCCGGCGGCAGGCGGACCCCCGTTCGCGGGCGGGGCCCGGCCTGGGGCTCCTGCCCCCGGGATCGCTCGAGCCTCGAGGTGCTCGAGCGATCAGTCCTCGAGTCGTTCGGGAGGGCCGCCCGCGTCTCAGCCGGCCCTCCTCCCCGATCCCCGCCCGCGCCCCTGGTCTGTGCGCCCGAAAGGAGCACGGAAGGAAGGGGTGCAATGCCCAGCAGCAGTTCTTGCTCGTTTTGAAGAGGACTCGCCGTCCGCGCCGCCGCGGCCTGTGTCCATTTGAGACAGAAGGCCGCCTGCCCAACAGCGACCGCTGTTGGAATGGGACAACATTTGTTGTTGGGCATTGTACCCATTCTTTCCGTGCCCATTTCGGGAGTCCAAACCTTCGCCTCGCCAGAGAGGCAGGAGGGGGTCCCGATTCCGCTTCGATTCGGCTTCGGCTTCCGATCAGGGTTCCGACTTCTCATGGGAGGCCCACCAGCCTCCCAGTTCTTCGAGCGCCCCGGAGGAGGAGGAGGAGGAGGAGGAGGAGGAGGAGGACATGTGTCGGCCGATTCGGCTTCGCCCAACTCGGCTGCCGGCTTCCGCTGGTCCGATTCATCTCGATCGCCGATCCGACTCATCTCGCGCTGAAGTTGGCGCCAGCGCACCTTTGGTCGCGCGGGCGGTGCAGGGTTTTTTCATCAGCCGAAGGGCCAGTGCCGGCGGGCGCCGCGCGCTCAGCGAGGCGCCGATCTGCACGGCCTGCGCCCACGACTGCCCCGTGACCGTCCGCCCTCGCCACCGCTGCCGTGCGCGCGGGACAGCTGAGCCTACCGGTGATGGCAGTGCCACTTGTTGGACGGTGGCGCACGCGTGGAGGATACAATCAAGACTGAGGAGGGAAAGAACCACACAGGCACAATGATCGTCGACTCCCAGGAACATATGGGAACATGTGGGAAGCCGTGGGCAGGACGAGAGCCCAGAAAATGTGGGAAGATATGGGGAATCTGGTTATTTTGGTGTGTATTTATTCGTGGGTCCCCAGGATCGGTGCAGATACCTTCCTGGCCAAGCTAGAAGGCGTAATCACCGATCCTGGGCTCAGGATGGGCCTGGCCAGAATCGGTGTATGTGCATAGTTCTCTTTCCTCTACCTGGGCTCAGGAGACCCTCTTGGTTTCAGGCCCTTCCTCAGAGCCAGGTCGGGGTGCCTCTTCGCGGCCAGGCCTTGTGCCGTAGCCATACAAGGCCCCTCGTGGCAGCACGATGGCTGCACGTCGTCATCACCACCACCACCACCATCACCATCATCATCATCATCATCATCATCATCATCATCATCATCATCATCATCAGCATCAGCATCAGCATCAGCATCATCATCATCATCATCATCATCATCATCATCATCATCATCTTCATCTTCATCTTCATCTTCATCTTCATCTTCATCTTCATCATCTTCATCTTCATATTTATCTTCATCTTCATCACCATCACCATCATCATCATCATCACCACCACCATCATCATCATCATCATCATCATCATCATCATCATCATCATCATCATCATCACCTGCGCCATTACCGTCGGGGAGGACGGGAGGAGATCTGGCTCTCGAGTCTCCAGCGGCCGTCCAGGACGATCCGAGCACCCCCTGGAACGCCTTCGGCGAGGCGCAGATGCGGGAAAGCACCGAGAGGCTGGAAAACCCGCGGGAATCGGGCGTTGCGCAATGGGGGGGCAGTACATTTGGGGGGGGGTGAAGAAAAAGGTGCACCTTACGTGCCCTCTTGAGCCTTAAAGGGGCACGAAGGGTGCACGTTTCTTTCTTTCCTTCGATGTATCGCCCCCCCCCCCCGACGAACCACCGCCCATCGGCGTCACGCCAACACACCAATGCTATGTGTGCGTCCCCCCCCCCGGGGCGACGAGCTCGCCGAGAAATCTTACAATATATGCTTCGTGGCGGGCGCTTTCTGGCCGTACCGCTGTATATGTTCGGGTCGGACGCACGCCTCCGAGGAGGACACATAATACTAGTATGTACTTCTGCGCCCCAGCCCTAGGGAACCAACTTGGCATCGCTCGGACGTGTGCATTTTTTCTCGGCGAGGACCATCGAGGACCATCCTGGACCATCGAGCAAAAAAAACACGCAGTAAACCGACAAATGCACGAGAAGTGGACGTCCGGGCGACGGCGAGCCAACGAAGACGCCCGGAGACTCCTCGCGAGCCTTGAGCTTGCTGGAGCCTCGAGCCTCGACTGGCAGAGGAGGAGGGGGAGGGGGAGGGGGAGGGGGAGGAGGAGGAGGAGGAAGAGGAGGAGGAGGAGGAGGAGGAGGAGGAGGAGGAGGAGGCAGCAGCCGCGTGAGGCGCCCATTCTGCGCGGCAACGGCTCGAGGCCCGTGGGTACCGACTTCTGGGCGGTCGGCGCCTGCCCCGGGCGCGAGGGGCGGGGGGCGCCCGCAGTTTTTGCACTCGGGGAGGCGAGGGAAGGAGGAGGAGGAGCAGGAGGAGGAGGAGGCGGAGGAGGAGGAGGAGGAGGAGGAGGAGGCGGAGGCGGAGGATGAGGAAGAGGAAGAGGAGGAGGAGGTGGAGGGGGAGTTGGAGAGGCAGGGAGTGAGGGAGGGGGAGGAGGCGGAGGAGGAGGAAGAGGAGGGAGGAGGAGGAGGAGGAGGAGGAGGAGGAGGAGGAGGAGGAGGAGGAGGAGGAGGGGGAGGAGGGGAAGGAGGAGGAGGAGGAGGAGGACCGTAGCCATTTGGGCTCAAGGCTAAACCTTGTGAAGGGCCATAGACGCCCGGGAATCAGCGATCAGCTCTGGAGCTGTCCGTTGGCATCTCTCGAGTTGTTCTGCGTGGAACGGGCACCCCTTGTGCCCAAGCTCTTCATTTCCAGTCCGTGAGTGATGCGTCGCGGAGTCTGCGGTAGGATGGTGCCGCCAGCGGGCAGATCATCTGCCCAACTTGCGGGTGCAAGAAGAATCCTCACCACTCTCGTTTCTGTTCTCATTGCAGAGCTGCTCTTCCCATGGTCCAATTTGTGCGGCCAGCGCCGTGGCATCGTGTGGGCCAGGGAGGGGCATGGGGCCAGTCTGGCTCGAGTCCCAAAGGCGGGGGGTATGCTCCTGCCAAGCCGAAGCCGCCAGCCAGGGCCATGGATGAGCTCCATCGCCTTGTCCAGTTTGGTGGGGCCAAATGGGAAGTTCAAGGACATGTTGCCCCCCGCAGACAAGAATGGGATCAGCGCAGCATGGACCGCGGCTCAAGAGGAGAAGCAGGCAATCCCACCCAGCCAACTCCTTTTCCGTGCCGAGCAAGAGGAGGCCAAGCGTTGCAATAAGATCGAGCGCCTCGAAAAGAGTATCAAGAGTTGGTGGACAAAATAGTAGCACAGGAGGTCCAACAGGACGAACTGGTTGCAGCCATCAGGAGCGAGAAGGAAGCTGCGGATGGGGCCAAACGAGCAGCAGCCGCGCGGGTGGGTGCTATCACCCCTCCTCTTCAGACTTGGCTAACGTGCAGTAGCAACTGGAGGAGTTCCAGCGGACGCTGGCGACCCTCCAGGAACAAGGCGTACGAGGGCAGCTCCAAACCCAGTACTTGGGAGTGGTCAGCGCCATCAAGCCAGTCTTCGCCAGTGATGGAGGAGGGGCTGCCGACCAACCCCAGCCACTCCGCGAAGGGCGCCAACCAGACCCAGGTGCAGTCTATCGGGCAGTACCTGGGCTCATGGAGGTGGAGGACAACGACTTGGCCGAAGCCTGCGATGCCGTGGGTGTCCAAGGCGAAGCAGGAACCACCTTCATCGAGAAGATCAGGGAGCAGGCCTTGCAGAAGGCCAGAACCAGGGCCCAACCTGAGCCAGGACCGCGGAGGCACTCCAGAACGCCACCGCGCTTTCGTTCCGTATCAAGAGGTCGCCCGACCCGTGCCCGTGACAACGAGACCGAAGGGCAGCAGTGTTGGGAGAACGCATGGGCTTGGGCCGGTGTTAGAACGCAGCCAGCATGGCTCTTCCTCTCGCTTGTCCGTTGGGGACCCTGAGGTATCTATGCTGGTAGGGGGACCTCCCGCCCCTCAGAGTGGCGTCGGTGCCAAGGCAGGCACGTCCAGCCCGTCGGAGTTTGGCTGTTGGGGCCCTCTGGCGGACCGGTGATATGATGAGGATGATGGTGATGATGACGATGCTGCTGATGATGATGATGCTGCTGATGATGGCGATAATCCTGATGATGAAGATGCTGATTCTGATGACGATGATGATGCGGCTGATTATGATGATGATGCTGATGATGATGATGCTGATGATGATGGTGATGCTGTTGATGATGATGCTTACGATGCTGATGATGCTGATTATGATGATGATGCTGATGCTGTTGATGATGATGCTAATGCTGCTGCTGATGATGCTGATGATGGTGATGGTGATGGTGATGCTGCTGATGAGGATTGTGATGATGACCATGATGATTGTGCTGATGCTGCTGCTGCTGCTGCTGCTGCTGATGATGATGATGATGATGATGATGATGCGGCGGATGCTGATGATGGTGATCATGATGATGCAGATGATGAGGATGATGATGAATATCATGACACCGATGATGCTGATGATGATGATGCTGATGTTGATGATCACGTTGATGATGATGTTGATGCTGATGCTGCTGCTGATGATGCTGATGATTATGCTGATGCTGATTATGCTGATGATGATGGTGGTGGTGATGATGATGATTTTGAAGACGATGATGATGGTGGTGGTGGTGGTTGTGTTGATGGTGATGATGATGACGCTGATGATGATGCTGATGCTGATGCTGATGATGCTGATGATGGTGATGATGGTGATGCTGCGGATGATGATGGTGATGATGATGCTGATGATGCTGATGATGCGGATGATGATGATGCTGATGATGATGCTGATGCTGCTGATGATGATGCTGATGATGCTGATGGTGATCATGATGTTGCTGCTGATGATGATGATGCTGATGAGTACGATGAGGACGATGAGGACGATGATGTTGATGCTGATGATGATGATGCTGATGATGATGATGGTGATGATGATGATGACGACGACGACGACGACGATGATGATGATGATGATGATGATGATGATGATGATGATGATGATGCTGCTGCTGCTGCTGATGGTGATGACGGTGATGCTGGTGATGATGATGATGATGATGATGATGATGATGATGATGATGATGATGATGATGATGATGATGATGATGATGATGATGATGACGAGGACGAGGGAGGTGGTGGAGGAGGAGGAGGACGACGAGGACGACGACGAGGAGGGGGGGGGGGAGGAGGACGACGAGGAGGACGACGAGGAGGGGGAGGAGGCGGAGGGGGAGTTGGAGAGGGAGGGAGTGAGGGAGGGGGAGGAGGCGGAGGAGGAGGAAGTGGAGGGAGGAGGAGGAGCAGGAGGAGGAGGAGGAGGAGGAGGAGCAGGAGGAGCAGGAGGAGGAGGAGTAGAAGGAGGAGGAGGAGGCGGAGGAGGAGGAGGAGGAGGAAGAGGAAGAGCAGGAGGAGCAGGAGGAGGAGGAGCAGGAGGAGCAGGAGGAGGAGGAGGAGGAGGAGGGCCCGGGCGCCCGCACCCCTGCACTTGGGAAGGCGAGGTGGGATGTGCCAGGGGCGTCAGAAAAGGGGGCTGATGACTAGGGGGGCGGACATCATGTCCGAGGCCATGCCTTCTCCCCAGACTTTATGTCCCCTCGTTTTGTCTAGGGCAGGGAGTCTGGAGGCGGCAAGTTCGGCGACCGATGGTGTGCGTGCTCAGGAAGGTGGAGAAGTGTTGCGGTGTCGCGAGGGAGGAGGCGGACCTGCCTTGCACCAGAAAGGACGGGGAGGAACCACTGAGGAGCGACGTTGCGGCCCCAAAAAGAAAGACAAGGATTTTGGACGTTCTAATCGGATATCCTGGGTTTTGATGCGCGAGTGGCGTGTGGGAGACACTCTTGGGTCGATGTGGGAGGAGACGAGCTCGGGATTTGCAGAGACAGCTGCTTGATTCTTCGCTCTCTCACCGCCATATCTGGGGGGACAAAGAACGGCACGAACATAAACTTTCGGCGCCCCGCGCGGATTTCTTGGCTTGGCACTGGGCCTCCCTCCCTGGTGGCGCGGAGTGCGCCAGAGGCGGCGTCGGAAGCGCCGCCAGGGGGCCTGGCCGCCGATCCGAGGAGTCCGCGCGGAGCGTCGGAAGTTTATGTGTTTGTGCGTTTTTTTGTTCCACTGTGATTTTCTTCCGGTACTTCGCCGCCGGGTTCCTGTACAAGGCGTTCCTTTGCAAGCACTTCGTCTTCGGCACCGCCTGATTCCGGGGCTTTGCCCCCTCCTGGCCTTGACGTGAGGCCCCTCCTTTTGCTTCCCTTTCTCTGTTAATTAAAGCTGTGCGCGGCCCGCCTCGCTCTCCACCCGTGGATCAAAAAACATTATTCGTGGTATCCGCTGCTCGTCATCGGCGGGAGAGTCTGGCCGTGACCGCGCAGATGGGGCGCGCGTGCGTGGGCCCAAGAGGGAGGGCGAGGGGATGGCGAGGGAAGAGGGGGGGGGGGGGACGTCGGCGGAGAGGGGGAGGAGGACCTGCGGGAGCGGGGGGGGCAGCGACTCGAGAGGGGAGGGGAGAAAAGGAAGGATAGGGCGAGGGAGGGAAGCGATTCGGGAGGAGGGGGGGGAACAGTGGGGCGAGGGAGCGGCACATGCCGAGTGATGGCCGATCGGGGTGGCTTGACGCAATCCCCGATGGAGCGGGGGTCAGCTCAGGTGTTGACTGTTGCGGCGACAGCGGCGAGAAGTTTCGTCGCCCGGGAGCGGCCAACAACTTGGGGGGTCGAGGGGAGGAAGCTTCCCCCCCGCATTCCCTTCCCGTCTTACCCCCCTCCCTCCTGACTCCTGACCCCACCCCTCTTGTCCCCTTTCCCCTCCTCCCTCGTCCCCCGTGCACCCCCGTTCCCTCTTCCTGTCCCGTCGCGGGCGCCGTCACCCTCGCCCTCCTCCCTTCCCCCTCCCCTTTCTGCCGGGGCGAGAACTGCAAGAGTGGGACGGTGTGTATGCGTGGGTGTGACTGTGTGTGTGACTGTGTGTGTGACTGTGTGTGAGAAACTGTGTGTGACTGTGTGTGTGACTGTTTGTGTGTGACTGTGTGTGTGCGACTGTGTGTATGCGTGCGTGCGTGCAGCTTTTACGAGGGTGGAGATAGATTCCTTTTTTTTTCAAGTGGGTCCTCGCTTAAACATAAGAACTTCAACGCGTGTGGCAGATGCACAGATGGTTGGCGGCTCCTTTTCAAACAAAGGGGTTCCCGAGATCGATTTCCTCGAAGCTCGCGGCCCCAATTGCACACTTATGCAACATCTACACGGATGGGGGCGCGCTTGCTTTCCCGGCGGGGATGTCGCTGGAGACCTCGCTGACGTCGTTGACATTACGTTTCCACATCCTGGCTTCTGCGCGAGAAATGCGTGCGGCCACTCCTTTCCCGAGGCGGTGCTCCCGCCTGCATGGCAGGCCCAGATGGCGCGGGCCTTTCCATGGGGCGCTTCTCGTGGGGACAGCGAAGGCCTGTATTGGGCTTATGCGGAGAGGACTTGAGACGGGGGGGTGTAGTCCAAATTTCGTAATAAAGGGAGGGGGGTCTCATTTCGGGGGGGGGGGGTCTCTTCCAGGCTATCTTGGAGGGCCTGGGGGGTCTGGGGACGATGTTTTGGAGGTTTCTCCCAAGGGGGAGATGTGAAATTGCTTGTTTTGGAGGGTCCAGACCCCCTCCCTTTTATTACGAAATCTGGAGTAGTTGAAGGTGATGGATGCGAGGAGGCCGCATGAGGCTTGACCCACCAAAGGTGACCCGGAGTGCCGGTTCTCACCCGCAGCAGCCTCGCCCGAGTTGGGCGGGGCAGACTGGCAATGCAACCGCTGAAGGATCCAGGCTGCTGGCGGCGCTCTTTGGCCGTCCTTGCGCCTCCAGGGGATCTCCCGAGTTCCACAAGGCGCCTGCAGATCTCATTTTTCTCTCGCAACCTCACCGTTTATCCAGGAGCCGCGAAGGCAACGAACGGAGGGCCGGCCCGGCACACGTCGGGCACCCTCGAGGCCCTCACGGCGGGAGCTGGCTCGAGGAATCCCCCGCGCAGGGTGGTCGGGGAGCACAAAAGGCTACGGACAGGCTCTGGCGCGAGCTCGGAACAGTTCCTATCGAGGACGCCTTCAAATACCTGCCAGCGCAGAAGCACGCGGACTGCAAGATGTATGGCGAAGAGCTCCTGCGTCAGACTACACGGGTGAGAACGCAGCCATTGGCGCCAAGGTTTCTTCCGCTGACTTCGTGGTACCGGTGCCGTTACGCACCGTTCAATTCCATGCTTGGCCCCAGTAGGCTGGGCGCTGACTGGCCACATGGTGTGCCACAACTGCCAGGAAATGGCCGCCCGCCACGGGAAGACTTTCGACGAGGTGATGAGGCACATCCAGGCTCACCCGTCCATCTTGGAGATCGAAAGGAAAGAAGATCCAATGGTCCATCGACCGGAGTGGGCTCATGATACCTTCCGCATTTTTGTCCGACGTTCGCGTGTTGAGGCGCGAAGGCGTGGGTGGGCAGTGCCGCTCATTACAAATCGCCGTGGGTGGATGGCTACATCCCGTCGGGCCCGGAGTCCAGTGAAGCCGGAAAGAGATTTCCCTGATTTCTCACCCACGCCGCCGCCTGGAATTGCAATGAAAACCAGGTTCAGTGGCGCCTGGCACCGGCTGACCGGCCGCCCGGTGGTTATGCTGCCGGCGGTCCACCGTGGGGAACGCCAGTGCCACGGACGACGGGATCAGCGCCAGCCCCGTCCCTGAGCGGTGCTTACAGAAAGGCGAAGACTGCCAGGGCACGGCAGGAGGAAGCTGATGGTCGCGCGCAGGCAGCGGCGAAGAGAGGCTGTCCACGCCAAGGGGAGCCCCCGCTGAAGGCGCAGCGCCGGCACCTGCACCGCTTGAGGCGAAGGCCAGGCCTCCGCCGCCGGCAACGTTGCCGAGGGGGGCGAAGAGGAGGCCGCCGCCTCCGCCGCCAAGGAATCCTCCAGGCAAGGCTGCCCCCAAGACCTCGAGCACACCAAGCTCGACGGAGCATGGGCCGTCGACCGTGCCCCGTGACACCGTGACGGCATACCAGAGTGCGTCAGGGGCGTCCCCAGAGCCGCCCATGCCGCCACCACCTCCGGCGCCGATGGGGCCGCCCCCGACTATGTCGGGGGAGTCGTGGAGGCGTGAGGCCCCGCCTCCGCCTCCGGCTGAGGCGCCCGCGCTGGCCGCGGCTCCGCCGCCCCCGGCTGGGCCGCCACCGACGGCGACGACTCCGCCGCCCCCGCCCAGGCCACCGCCGATGGCAACGTCCCCGCCGCTGCCGGCTGTGCCGCCGCCGCCGGCAGCGCCCCCTCCTCCCTCGCATGCGCCGCCATCGCAGACCCGTGCTCCTCCTGGCGGCCCCCCGCCACAGCGCCCGCTGCCCGAGGCGACGGCCGGCGCCCAGGCGCCAGGAACTGAAGGGCACACAGTAGCGGATGCAGGTTGCGCGTCGTCGAGCGCGGGAGAGACAAGGATCAAGTAGCAAATGCCCCCAAAATAGCAAAATAGTCAAAAAATAATACGGGACCATGTTTTGAATATGTTTAACCTTTTTTGTGTATGTTTGGGATATGTTTTATTTTTCGTTGAAGCTTCCCCTGTAGGGGGACACGCCCGAGATAAGACAAGGAGGACACCTGACCCTCAGCGCCAGCCCGGTTCCCGCTGGCTATATGCCAGCGTGGCCGAGGCGCCACCTGCGCCGCCCGCAGCCGCCGACCAGGGGCCCAGAATCCACCCAGAGATTGGCGTGAGCGACGCCTGGGAAGCAGCGCGGCCGAGGGCAGAAAGGCGCGAGAGGGCAGGAACTGCAGAGTCATTCTCGAGGAATGTGCTGACGACGGGTTTTGAGCCACCCGAGAACTACGTAAAACTTGCTCAGTGACTGACGATCAGGATTGCCGAACTAGTCAATAAGTCCGTCGTTCCTCACGTCCGCACTTGGTCATGCGGCGAAGCATGCGCTGCTTGTTCGCGACTCATTGAGCTAAGAGGCATTCGCGCCAGGTTCGTCGGCAAGAACATCCTGGTGTACGCGAGGAGTAATGTGCCCATCGATGACTGCTATTGCGTAGCCAGGGAGCTCAATTGGAAGGGCTAACGCACGTACCCTGACATAGATGTCATGCTGCTGGCGGATTGCACGGCGCTCTTCCACGAAGCGGCTGGCTTCTAAGAGCCGCGTGGAGCTACGGCCCTCCTGCGCATGTGCATCCACGACCAATTCGCAGGGCGCTATGCAAACTGCCAACGCGGCATTACCTTGCCAGACATTCTGCAGTTGGGCCGGCAAGGGAATAATTACTGGATTGGAGAACCAGAGCATCTTGCAGAGCCAGACGGGGCACCGACGCCGGCAACGTTGGGCGGCAGCGGCGCCGGGGGCTGACATCCGGCAGCACTTCGACTTGGAGTCTAAGGTGCTCGGGCGGGGGAGCCGCCAGTCGACGCGCAGGCCGGTTGCGCGCGAGAGGGCGAAAGGGCGACTCGATGTCTCGAGGCGCTGCGGGAGGGGGGCGAGATTGCCGCGATCGACCCCGGGGGCGGCCGCAATGATCAGGCGACTGCTGGTTATGCCAGCGGCGCCTCCAAGACGTAGAAAACACGCCTGGTCTATGACTGGAAACAGATGCAAGACTCACTGCTGATGTACGTCGAGTACAGCATCGCTGACAGGGCCCCGGGCCAATCCGACGCCCAAAATTGAGGACAGAGTCATTGCGCCCCCGCGCCTTCGACGCCAGTCAAGTCCCCCAGAAGCCGATCATAAACGGGCCAGGCGCAGCCGCAGGCTGGACACCAGACATTGAGGCTACGCTGATTGGGAGGGCAGTGAAGCACGACAGTTCCGACGAGTACAAACTATTGTTGTCGTGCATGCCGCCGACCCCGAAGATGCTGGACAGGGGGCCGATACCTGGCGATTTCTCGTGCAGAAACGAGGGCATGCACGCCGAGTCCAAGGCTTGGCTCGCGGCGACAATCCGCCGCGCGCACTTCGCCATGCCCGCCGAGAGCTACGTCGGTCGCTGCGTGATCGAATGGCTCGGTTCCCGACGCCCGCATGCGGCCGACAAGGTTGAAGGGGCGCTATGCGACCATTTCGATTTGGAAGGCAGGACCGTTGACTCCCAGAGCATGCTGCGTTTATCATTCCGTTCGACATGGCAGCGAACTGCGCGCGTGCGCATGAAGAGGGATTCGGGATGGAAGTTCTATTCGCGCGCCGTCGACGTCAGCAGGCTGGGGGCCGCCCTCGACAATGGCGCGTTCATCGCCTCCTAGGTGGGCGACGGCGGGCGAAGAAGGACTACAAGGGCTCAGAGGCGCCCGCCGAGGGGGCGCGCGCCTTCGAAGACTCCTTCGAAGTACCGTGGCAGCACGCCGCCGATTCTCACAACGCAGAGCTGTTTGGCGTCGGACTGACTGTCGCGTGCGATTTCCAGATTCTGGCTCCGCCGCCGGAGTCGGGGGGTTTTACGGCAGTAAATATTGAAGGGGGCAAGGAATATCAATTCCTCCCACCCTCGCGATCAGGTGGGCACTGCCCTTCGTCTCTACTTCGCCGCGGCGCCGCATGCCTGCGCCAAGGGGATGCGGTTGCACTGCCCAAACGTGTCTGCTGGCGATCACTTCGAGCTCTATTTCGCAGCTGTCGTGGATCGAGACCTTTCTCGTTCCATAGGGGGAATCAGGACAGACAGAGCGTGAAACGGCCAAGGTGCGCCCCTGGTTGGCCCAGGGGCTGGCAGGGGTGACAGCGGGTCTATGGCCCCGTCCGTCTCGAGCATCGCCCGGCACGCCGCGAGGCGCGACGGCGTCTGCGGGGGGCAGCGCAGCAGGACCAGATACGAGAGATCCGAAGCAGCCGAAAGCTGCTCGTCGAGCATCTTCTCGACTTCGCTCGCGACAATGAGGCTCAATGGACAGGGGGAAAGCGCTGGGGGGAAGAGCTGGAGACGGACCAGTTCTCCGAACCATACAACGTCGTCCCCGACCCAGAGAAGCTCTTTACATATTGCGGGATCGCGGATCGACATGACCGTTCTCGACCCAGCGAAAGCGGATGCCGACAATCGATGGATCCATTATTCAGAGGAAGATTCCAAAAGGCATCGAGCTGCAAACCCGCTGCCCGCCGGGGGCGCCTCCGACGACCAGGTCCGCCTGAGCCCGAGATCGGGCATAAAGGCCAAGAGTTCCAGAATCGCAGCGCAGAGATCATGCGGAACGATCCGGGGGGCATCCACAGAGAGGCCACGTCTTTCCGCCGGCGGGGAACATTGCGCCAGCGGTCGAATTGGGGGCGCCTGGGGGCGGTTGGCTTCATGAGAAGATGCAGGGCGGATGCAAGAGTTCGCTTCCCCTCCAAGGGGCAGTGCCCGACCGCCCCCCTGGCTTCGCAGCCGCCTGATCCACGGGATGGCGCGCCGTTTCGTCAGCCCCCGACGATGGGCAGCGTGGAAGTGTCGACGGATGTGGCTTGGATGCAGCAGGTGCACCTGCATCTCCGGCTCGGATGCTACTGCGCGACGTGCAAGGAGGTGAGGAAAGGGTCGCCGCTGAAACCCGTGGAATTTGGGACGACTGCGAGACGCCCCGCGCAGCGCTGCACATTGACCTACGCGCTCCGCGTCGGCGCGCGCGCAGCCACCTAGGCCAATCCCCATCGACGCGCCGCTCCCGCCACGGTCCTGGAGCACGAGAAGATGCTCTTTGAGCGACGTTGCTGATCCGAGACTTTGGACGGGGCGTCAGTGCTGAGCTAGGGCGAGGGCAGCACACCGGACCCTGCGATGGACCCGGACGAGACGCGGGAGGGGAGAGGTCGCCCGACCGCTGCGGACGCGGGCGACGGGGCTCGCAGCTATGCCGCGGGCCCCCCTCCGGCCCCGCCACCCTCTAGACCTGCGTCGTCAGTGCCGGCCGCGGCGCATCATTGGGGCGCGATCTTGAAGTCTAGGCCGTCGACCGCCCCCAGAGCGTCGAGCGAAGTTAACCTGCGAGCCTCCGACGACGAGCCGCCTGCGCCCCCGGGCGAAGGCGACCGCTCTCAGATGTCGGTTGCGGTATTGGCCAATGAAGACGACGGCGAGGCGGATGGCGCCGGGGGCGACCAGGGCGAAAAAATGATGCACCGAGCAGAAGAGGGCACTGTGCCCGCTGCGCCCAAGCCCTGGCCAATTCCTCTTGATATTCTCTCCAGCAAGCTCCCCGAAGCATTCGCGGCGCGACATTTCTGCTTTGGCGGGGCCCCGGCTCCGCACCAGAACCGGCAGGTCTCCACGGGCGAGCTCAGGGCGAGGAGCGGAGCTAGGAGGTGCAGCCGACCATAGGCAGGGGCACGCGGAGAAGGACGAGTTCGGTGCCCCGCTCGTCGACATTGGCGACCCCGCAGGCTTATTGTTCGCAAGTTTCGAGCTGGCCCAGAAGCTGGAGGGGCGCCGCGACTCCGGCCCCGAGCCCTTCGCAGACAGACAGAAGCGGGGCACCGATTTCCAGAAAAGATCACAGGAGCTGTCCCGCGAGCTGGTGGGCGATGCACTATTGCAGTTGTTGCGTCGCCTGTCCACTGGGGGCGGAGTGAACGCGGGTCGGTTCTTGCGCGCGCGCCCGCAGCAACGCGGTCGAGCCCCGATGTTCCCCGAAGCCGGGGGGGGACCTCGTCTACGTAAACTTTGCCAGTGAGCTGCGTTCGCTCGAGTGGTATTCGGAAATAGACGTGGAGGAAGCTGGGCGCATGGGCTCGCTCATCGTTCGCTTGGCGATGCACGGCGCATCTTACGTTCGCAGTTCTGGCGGGCGGGTTGAGGCGTCCTACGTCGACGAGGATGATGATGACGCTGATGATGATTCTGATTATGATGATTATGAGGATGAGGATGAGGATGATGATGACGAGGATGCTGATGATGGTGATGCTGATGATGTTGTATCACATGATGATGATACCGTCGCCGATAAAGACGGTGATGATGACGATGATGGTGGTGGTGGTGATGATGATGTTGTTGTTGTTGACGACGACGTCGACGACGATGATGGTGATGGTGGTGGTGGCGGCGGTGTTGGTGGTGATGAGGATGTGGGTGATGAGGCTGATGAGTATGAGGAGAATGAGGATGAGGATGCTGCTGATGATGATGATGCTGATGGAGATGATGACGATGATGATGATGATGATAATGAGGATGATGATGATGACAACGATGATCATGACACCGATGATGATGCTGCTGATGCTGATGCTGATGCTGGTGCTGATTATGACTATAATGATTATGAGGATGAGGATGATGACGAGGATGATGATGATGGTGATGCTGATGAGTTTGTAAGACCTGATGATGATACCGTCGACGATAAAGACGGTGATGGTGATGATGATGGTGGTGGTGGTGATGGTGCCGGCGGCGACGGTTGCGGTAGTGGTGGTTGAGATGATGATGATGATGATGATGATGATGATGATGGTGATGATGGTGGTGGTGATGCTGCTGCTGATGCTGCTGATGATGATGATCATGATGATGATGATGATGCTGATGCTGATGCTGATGATGATGCTGCTGATACTGATGATGATGCTGATGCTGATGCTGATGCTGATGATCATGCTGATTCAGACGATGATGATGCTGCTGATGCTGATGCTGATGCTGATGATGATGATGCTGATGATGATGATGATGATGATGATGCTGATGATGATGATGATGATGATGATGATGATGATGATGATGACGACGATGCGAAGGAATAGCAAGGGGATGAGGAGGAGGAACAAGAGGAGGAGGAGGAAGAGGAGGAGGAGGAGGAGGAGCAGCAGCAGGCGGAGCAGGAGGCGCAGGAGAGCGCGCCAGGAGCGCAGCGGTAGCGCCGCAGGAGCGGGAGCGGCGCGCCCGCCCATTGGAGCCCCCCGAAGCCCAGGGTGTGGCGACGTGTCCTCCAAGACCCGCTCGGGCCTTCGCCTGCTGGACGACACGAGCAGGGCCATGTACCAGCTTGCCGTGCAGGAGTGGAGTGCCACCGCAGGACGCGCGCGCTGGCGCTGGCGCAGAGCCTCCTCCCTCTCATCCTTTCCTCGTGCATCCTTCCCGTCCATCCTCCTCCCTCCTCCCTCCGCCTCCTCCTCCCTCTTCCTTCCTCCTCCTCCTCCTCCTCCTCCTCCTCCTCCTCCTCCTCCTCCTCCTCCTCCTCATCCTCCTCCTCATCCTTCCTCCCCTCCTCTTTTGCTCACCATCCCCCTTGCCCCCCTACCATCCTCCTCCGCCTCCTCCGCATTCTCCTCCGCATCCTCCGCCTCCCTCTCTCTCCCCCCTCCTCCCACCTCCTCCATCCTCCTCACTCCTCCTTCCTCCCTCCTTCCTCCTCCCCCTTCCTCCTCCTCCTGCTCTCGGCTGTCGCCTCCCTTGGGAGTGGCACCCGCCCGACATCTGTGAGCTGTGACTCGCGCCTTCGAGGAAGACCGAACTGATTATTATTTGTAGTATCATTTTTCTTCTTCTCCTCCTCCTCCTCCGCCAGGTGTTGGTGGAGGTAGGGGACGGACGGGGCGGAGGGAAGGGGAGGAAGGGGGCGGAGGGAAGGGGAGGAAGGGGGCGGAGGGAAGGGGTGGACGGGGGAGGGAAGGGAAAAGGATGACAGGGAAGGAGGGAAGGGGACTAGTCTGCATGTCCCCCCTCGTGCCTCCCCCCAGGCCTGGCCGTGGACCATCCCGTCTTCTTCCGCTGGACCCAGGAGCCCCGCCCTTGATCGGGGGCGCCTGGGCGGCGAACGTGACGCCAATGGGGGGATCTCTTTGGGCGCCAGTCCAAATGGGTCCTGCTCTGCTCCCTCCTCCTCTCTCTCCTCATCCTCTCCCTCCTCCCCCTCCCCCTTCATCCCCCTTCCGCCTCCTTTCTCCTTCCTTTCCTTCTCCTTCTTCCTCCTCCTCCTCCTCCTCCTCCTCCTCCTCTTCGTCCTCCTCCTCCTCCTTCCTCTTCTTATTGCTGCTGCAACCGCCAGCCAGGGAATGTGACGCCCAGGGGGGAGGGACTCTGTGGGCCCTGCTCCGAAGGGCCCTGCTTGTCCCCGCGCCCACGTCTTGAGAAGCTCAGGAGGGCGCCAGCCACAGCCGAGACGCCGAAATACGGGCCACTCTGACCTCGGGTGAGGTCCTGGCCTTCGGCCCGCTCCCGAGACCTAGGTCTTGGAGCCTCCTCGTGGCCAATGCTCGCCATGGCCCGAAAGAACACCCTCGTGCCTCGTTTGCCGGCCCTCGTGGTCGTGCCATTGCCGCAGTCGTGCGCCAGCACCCGTCCCGGGCGGCACCGCCCCTGGGCCTGGGGGTGGCGTGCATGCCCTCCTGGCGTCCAGGGTCCACGCGAGAACTTCTCGCGCGGACCCCTGGGGCCAGGACGGGCCTGGCCAGGATTCGTCGGCGCAGGTGTATAGCGGGCGCCATCCCAACAGCTGCCCATCTCGCCCCGGGGGCATTCCTCGTCGCAGCGGCCGCACGATTTGCTTACGCTTCGCGAGTCCCCGCCAGCCCATTCAGAAACCCTGCCCACGAGAGCTGACGGGGAACGGAACGCAGAGGCGCATATAGTTAAACAGAGCGGTCAAAGAGAGGATGGGGAGGAACGTGTTGAGCCATGTTGGAGGCTATCTTGGGGCATCGGAGGCCTTTTTGATGCCATGGGTCTTTTGGGGGGCGTCTTGGGGTCCTCTTCGGGCTCTATTGGTGCATCTTGGGGCCCTCTTGGGGCTCTTTGGCGGGTCTTGGGGTCCTCTTGGGGCTCTTTCGGGGCGTCTTGGGGCACTCTCGGGGCCCCTCTTGGGACCCTCTTGGGGCTCTCTTGGGGCCCTCTTGGGAGCTTCGGATGGCCTCCTGGGGCCATCTTGGAGGCCATCGATCACAAGGGGGGGTACCTTATCTAGGCCCCCCCCCTGAGAGCCCTCAAAATCGCCTCCTGGGTCCCTCTTGGGGCGATCTTGGGCGCTCTTGGTGCCGTTTTGGGGGCCTCTTGGGCATCTCTTGTAGCTCTCTTGGGCCATCGTGAGGCCTCAGAAAACTCATCAATCTCCTTTAGATGTTTGATGGACTTTGGCTTCTCGGGGGGGTCCCGGGGGGTCTCCAAAAGCACTTGGATCCGTTTTGTGGCCCTCTTGGGGCCTCTTGGAGGCATGCTGTTAGCTATCTTGAGCCATGTTGGGCTATATTGAGCGATCCTGGAGGCCATCTTGGGCACTCCGAGGCCCTCTGGGAGCCATCTTGGGCCGAAAAGGACCTTCTGACACCTCGCGACCCCCCCCCGTCCAGGTCCTGGGGAGGGGGTAGGGGGAGGGGTCACTCTAACGGAGGCTGGGGCAAAAGCGAGAGATAGCGAGCGTTTGTCCGCGGCCGTTTGTGCTCAAGCGGCGGGCCGCCAACATATGACTGCGCCTCATCGCGAGGCACACTACTTGCCACTGGGACCGAAAACAGATTCGCTTGATATGGCCCGTCGCTCCCGAGACGATCTCCTACTTCTGGCACTATCTTTACTACTGTACAGCAGAGTTGGATATGGGCTTCGCCCTAGGCGAAGCTTCTGGTTGGGCTCCCAACCCCCCTCAAACTTGGTAGCGGAGCTGGCCTGTGGTGGTCAGCGCTAGCCCTACTCCTCACCATCCACGGCACTATCTGGTGGACTACTGACACGGTGGAACATCAGGGTGCAGTGGGTTTGGGCGGAGGAATGTACATATCTACGCGCAACCGCAATGACACTTGCAGCGCTACCTCCGTTCTCGAGGGGGCTTGCATGAGTCCTACTTCCCTGCGCTACTACACTCCTGAAGCCCACCCTCCGACTCCAATTAGAAACTTGTTTGGAGACACAATGCGTGGTAGCATGCGATGCGACATCGCGCCGCCTCCACCCCCACGCAGGCTAACGACAACACATCATGACCCGCGACCACGCACATCCGACCACGACCGAAGGGGCCATTGGCTCGGTATTACCAGATTTGGCCTTCTATGGGCCCCTATCGGGCGCGCTGCCGGGCATGTGCAGCGTGGCGGAGACGACGCGCGCACTGCTGGCCCCCGCTGGGGCCTTGCTGGCAGCGTACCTCTTCGCAAATTCGCTCGCGAGGTACATGCCTGGGCCAGCGTGACTACAGTCAACATGGCCCCTTCTCAACAGGCCGCGGCATTACAGCGTGGTCTGGGAGGGCTCGCAAGGACCATCGTCGTGAGAACACCTTCCTCAATCGTGAACTTTGGCGTGGATATTGGTTGTGGCCACACCGACGGCGTCGCCTGCATCATTTGCCTCCCCAGCGCTAAGTTTGAAAATCTATGGGATGATCGCGAACTCAATACAGGAACGGCCCTCATGTACTTTCGCGGCCATGCGGGGGAGCGGATCGACCAGACGTTGGCGCGCTCTGAGATAACGCGTTTCGAGGCCGAGATCGCGGGCTTCAACATTCCCAACTTCCAGATCTTAACAGTAACCCTCTTCAGAGATCTGGGCGTGGGTACGTCGCGCGCACAGCAATTACTACGACCACTTAGTCACCAAATGCAAGGGACGCAGCAACAGTTTGTTTCTCCACTAGAGCGCACGAGGTCCTACGCGCACATTGCCGAGCGAACACTCGGCAACAATGGTGGTGTATTCAGCGGCGGTCATCACGCTGAACCGTTCCACGCCGACGCCAACGCAGGGCAGCCTGTGGACAACGTCTGGAACGACGACCCGCAACCAGCTGAAACCACCACCTTGTTAAGCCAAGAAGGTGGCCAGCCTGCGGGGTCGCGCGACTCCTGGGATCGCTATCGCGGGCCGTCGGCAACGGCGGCCCCTGCCCAAGCCACTGCCCTCGTAGGCTCTGCGGGGCAATCCGCCGAGTCTGAATTTGACTCTGGTGCCGACGCCGACACCTCGTCAGATGAGGGAACTGGTGCCCTGGATTTGCCCGACATGCCTGCGCATCTCACTGAACTGCAGCAGGCGCAGCGGTTACTCCTAGGATGCCAGAAACACAGGCGCCGTTGGGGACGTTTTATGAAGAAACCAGTTCGTAAAGTACGACGTGCGGTTCGACGGGCGCATAGGTCAAAGGGTAAGGGTAGAGGCAAGGGCAAGGGCAAACGACGGCGACTACATGGCCGAGGTATGTTGGCAGTCTCGGCTTCCCTGACTGGACAATAATGCGAAGGGATGTTCCTGGGGGCAGGCAGAGGCCGTGGGCGCACCTCAGGAAAGGGCAGGGGACGTCGGGATAACCCGAAGGATGCCAGTGTAACAACCATGGTATGCGAAATCTGCCGTAGCACACTAGATTTCCGTCGAGAATGCACCCGAGGCGACGGGGGGGGCAGGGCCCTTCGATGCATGCGGCGCAGACCGATTCGGACATTCAGTATGTCGTTTGGGAGACGCTGCTAGCCGAACCCGAAGACAACTTTGCCGCCGCCGTTCACTTCATGGCCGCCAGGTATCTGAGTGCCAGCGTGTCCCTCGAGAGGTATGCCGATGAGATCTACGAGGAGATCAACGTTGGCCACGACGAGATCAACCTGGCGGACTGGTTGGGCATTCCTATCGCGGAGCAACCTGCGCAGATTGAGTTCGTTGAGGATTTCCACGCGCCAGCCGATTCGGACCGCGGAATGGTGGGGACACCTGCGGACCCTGATGCTACGATACCTGCGGCGGAAGAGGAGCTCCGCTTGATGCTCCGGCCGCAGGTCATGGGCAATCCTATATACGAAGAATCACACGGCGACGATCCTGCGCGGGGGAACCCGCGCGGTGTTGGCGACCTTTCCGAGGGCGTCCAACATGCACTCGTTCGCAACGAAGGCTCTCTCTTCACGTTCGCAATGCATGACCGATCCGCAAGCCGCCCAGCTAGGAGGCGAGTGTATCGCAACGACGACGACGAGGACGAACCGGAAGCTGAGAGCGATCCACAACGTTGCGGGCGGAGTCACGCAGGCACTCGCGCGCCCGCTCCAGCGGCGCACAGCGCCCACGCACGCCTGACCAGAGGATTCCAAGAAGTCCACCCAGAAGGGAACTCTCGTTGGGGAACCCGCCTCAGGACGAGGATCAGGCAGGTGAACCTGAAGGCCAGGGCCCACGACGTCTCGTCAGTTACGAAGAGCGCGGGCTTGCCCGCCAATCTGTCTCAGCAGCAGACATGCAGCATTGGCTCGGCCATGGCTGGGCCGAGCACGACATCCGCCGCTGGTGCTCAACCACTAATGCTCCGCGGAAGGAACGTTGCAAAGCATCCGTTCCAACAGAGGTTATCGTGCTAAGTCGGCCCGCGCTCTTGACGTCAGGGGCGCAAAAGAGGGCCTTCGTTAGTGATCGAGAAGAGTGCCGAGGCCACCTCGGCAGCTGTCAGCATTTGGCGGACCGCAGACCGGACTGTCCGATGGGGCGTCCTTCAAGGAGCCCCATCTTTGAGAAGGTTCCGTGGATCTGGTCTCATGGAGACGGCTTGGGTCGCAATGTGGATCCGACTTGCCACCCTCTTTGGCGATGTTTGACCGAAGATGACTACCAGCCGCTCACCGAAGATGGGGCGAAACGCGCCGCGCACAAGTGGAAGAGACTCGATGGAGACCACCGCCTCAAGCGATGCAGTCGAGGATAGCATGACATGATTGATGGCCGCGGCGTCACCTGCGGGGCAACCCGCTTCTTCCTCTCACGAAGGTGCTAGCAATCCGAAGGGCGGCAGAAAGGGTGGCAAATTTGTTCTGGCCATGGCAGTTGGCCCGACTGTTGCTGATCCTGCCCATGATTCAGAGCGCACTTACGAGTCTGAAAACAGCAATCCAACGGATGCAGAAATAGACGCCCCCAGGAATATAACAGCGGACATGGCCCTGCAACCGCAGGGGAGTCGGCTGGGCATCCAGCGTTGTGCTCCGAAGAGTCAATGCTGAAAACTATGAACTGGACATGATAATTGGGGCCGGTATCAAGAACATGGCAATTTATAAGCCAAAGTACCAGCTTCCGCAAGACAGGCCATCATCCCATGATGCGGGGCAACCCGCGGCGTCCTCTAGCGCGGGGGCACCCGCTGAGAAACCGCCCAGGGGCCCGACCCGCCCAGAGAGAAAGAGGCTCACCGAGAAGGACGCCAAGTTATCCCCGTCACCAAGTACGTCAAGGTCACCAGCTCCAGCGCCACCTAAACAGAAGATCAGGGCCAGCTCAGCAGAGGCCGACCCTGGAAGCAACAAATCACGCAGAGCTGCGGGGAAACCTGCCCGCGGACAGTACTCCAGGGGGCCAGCAGTGGCCGCTGCAGCATCAGCGTTCCAAGGCAGCAGTGCGCCGACGCCGAGGGGGCCCGCATTTCTGCGCGGTCCAACTCCTGGAAGGCCCCGCGGGGGGGGGCGCATCCAGGGCGCGCTCCTCGCAGCGAGGTGAAGGTGAGAAGGCGCTGCAGACTGCGCCCATATCGCCGGGAACTGCTCCGAGGATCATTGAAAGGAAAAAAGACATCTGGGGGCGCGAGCTCATCTGCAGCGCCAGCTGCGACAGTGATCCTTACGGGGGCACCCGCTGAACCATCGCCTGCGTCTGCGGGGCAATTTGCCGCTATCCCCGAACTGGTCGAGGGGGGCAGGCGTTGCTGGGGGGCCCTGGGCACTCCTAATCAGATGAGGGTCAACCCGGCTCGCGGGCCTCATGCCACCGACGTCTCTGACCGATGCAGGGTGGTACAATGCGACAAAATATGCGCCGGCGCGCGCGCTGATAACGATGCTCTTGAACGCCAGCGTGTCCGCAGTTTCTCGCGGACACAGCCTGCCCTCAGCTACAGCACCGAGGCGGAACGCCTAGCGCAGACGTTGCGCCAGGAGCGCGAGAGCACCAAGGTTCCGAACGAGTACGAACAGCGCGGCAGCTTGGAGTGGCTCACCATAGCCTCCCGGCGCAAGCCATTTCACAGAGACAAGGTCTCGTATCGTACCGCGGATTGTGTCTACTCGTTTGACGAATTCGACGGCCGGGTAGACCTCGGCGACGCGCTGAGGAATTGGCCGCCGAAGAGACACGAATAATGGCACAACCATCATTCGGGCGTCATCAAGAAATGCCTTCGAGGTCGACGCCGGGCACGTCAAGCGCCGGCCGTGCTTTGAATATGCGAGATGGTCGACCATTCCGGCATGCAGAAGAATCGACTCCAGGCATAAAAGCTTCATTTTTTGCGGGGAACCCCTCCATCGCGCTTCCTGCGTCCCAGCAGTGGACACAGCAGCCCAGGCATCAAATGCCCAGAATCACTCCTATTCCCGGGTAACAGACCTGAACGAACAGGGAACGCCATGCTACTTCACGCGCGGCACCCAATGGATAAACATCCCGGGCGTGCTACACGTTGGTCTGTCCTGCCGTTGCGAATACAATCATTATCCCGGCAAAGCAACCTAACAGCGATGTGTAGGAGCATATCTGGAAGCATTCCCCTTAAGATTCAGATGAGAATCCAGTTGTAGAATTCTGCTGTTCTCGCAGTCGTAGTCGCATTCGCGATGACAGTCGCAGTGGCAACGGCAGTCGCAGTCACAGCCTCAGCCTCAGCCTGCCTCAGCCTCAGCCTCAGCCTGCCTCAGCCTCAGCCTGCCTCAGCCTCAGCCTCAGCCTGCTTCAGCCTCAGCCTCAGTCTGCCTTCAGCCTCGGCCTCAGCCTCAGCCTGCCTCAGCCTCAGCCTGCATCAGCCTCAGCCTCAGCCTCAGCCTGCCTCAGCATCAGCCTGCCTCAGCCTCAGCCTCAGCCTGCCTCAGCCTCAGCCTCAGCCTGCTTCAGCCTCAGCCTCAGTCTGCCTTCAGCCTCGGCCTCAGCCTCAGCCTGCCTCATCCTCAGCCTGCCTCAGCCTCAGCATCAGCTTGCCTCAGCATTCAAAATGTGGCCCGGGAATGGAGTTCTGGGAGCTCGAAGAACACGAAGTGGCCTACTGTTGGCTCCGGGCATTCAAAATCATGCCCAGGAATGGAGTTCTGGGAACTCGAAGACCACGAAGTGGCCTACAGTTGGCTCCGGGCATCCAAAATCATGCCCAGGAATGGAGTTCTGGGAACTTGAAGAACACGAAGTGGCCTACAGTTGCCTCCAAAATGTGGCCCGGGAAGGGAGTTCTGGGAACTCGAAGAGCACGAAGTGGCGTACAGTTGCCTCCTGGCATCCAAAATGGCCCGGGAATGAAGTTTTGGAAAGTCGAAGAACACGAAGTGGCCTACAGTTGGCTCCAGGCATCCAAAATGTGGCCCGGGAATGGAGTTCTGGGAACTCGAAGAGCACGAAGTGTGTGACTGCTGGCTCCGGTTATTCAAAATGTGGCCCGGGAATGGAGTTCTGGGAGGTCGAAGAGCACGAAGTGTGTGACTGTTGGCTTCAAACGAGCCCGGCTCTGTTCCCGGTTTTTTTCCCCGGCACCCGCCCAGACCCCCCTGTGGAGTCATCAGATGCTCTCTTTTGAGTCCACTAGAAACCTATCAGCAAAAGCTGTTAGGTAATAAAGAGAAAAACAGGCAGATGATTCATGGGTGCCCAGGCTTACCTGGAGATTGGCGGTTTCAATCAGGCCTGCGGATCGAATCCGAAGCTTTGATTGGGGTGAGCCTCAAGGATCTACTTCGCGACAACATCCCGGTCTGGCGCTCTGCCAGCGACGTCATCGCGACGTCGGGTATCCATGGAGGAAGTCCGCCAAGTCACATTGCTCAACTCATTGGCATCGAGCCTAACGATGTCCAGTGCAGGTGCGACCGAGTTGGGCAGGTTTGGGTCAACGAACTGTACCTTGACGACGCTCAGCGGGGTAACCTGCAAGGTCCCAACCATGTACCACAGGAGTGGTATACATACCCAGACGACGCGTCCACATTGAGAGGATGGACTGTGCCTAGTACTCCCTGCGACCTCAAAGTCCCTATTCCGTCACCCACGGCGGAGGTATAATATGCCTCTATATCGTGATGCAAGAGGTGCATCAAGCGGAAACACCCGCGGGAGGCTCGGATGGGTCATGGATCCAAGCTCAGAGCGCTGACTCGTCATGACATCCAGCGGGGTTGCGCTGAACGACGGACTTCATGCAGGCGACCCGTGGCGTAATCAGGCGCAGCAGCTGCCTGCACCTCTCGTTGTGGCAGTCGCCCTCCTTCAGGCCGTCGACTTCGCTGTGGCTGGAGTTCCCCTTCAGGTCGTAGCCCTCGGTGACCGACTGCTGCTCCCTGGCAGGCTGCGGCCCTCCTCGGCGGCTGCAGCCCTGCCCTCGGGCAGGCCGCGACTGGCCCGAAGGCAGCTCCCGTCGTGGCTGCGGCCGTCGCTGTAGCTGGCGCTGCTGTCCAAGGTGTAGCGCTCCATCCGGCTGTGGCTCCTCTCCGCAGCCGTGTGGCTCTCGTTGTTGGTCGTGGTTCCCCTCGAGGCTATACTTCTTTCTGGCTGTACCTCGTCTTCCTGCGTGCTCAGAGCCTTGAGCGAAGCCTCGGCTGGGTCGTGCTCTTGGTCGTGCGTACAGTAGGTGCGCATCCCAAATGTTTGCACGCCGCCTCCGTCCTCGCCCATGCACTTCTTGTAGGGGGTAGTCGCGGCCTCCATGCCGGTGCACGTTGCGGCTTGGCTTGCCATGGCGTACTACTCGAAGAACCCGTCGGTTTCTGGGTTTCCCGCAACGCCCCACGGCATTGGAGGGGGGATCAATTATTCTTCAGAAGTGAGAATTCAACAAGTAGAATCCGGACCACGGAATCCACTGCGCCCACGTATCCAGGAATGGGGTAAGACAATTCGGCTTTCTCCCTCTGATAAGTAAACCCGCCGTGTCTCACCATCAGACGTGTCCGTATGCCAGAATGGGCGTTTCGCTTTAGACTCCCTTCGGTCTGCTATCCTGAAGTGAAAGACTCCAACATTAACAAGGATGAGGGCAGGGGGTTTTCGAACCATGGTTTTGAAAAAGTGGCTCTCGCTTCACCGCCGCGCACACTTGTGTGAGCAATTGCAGCGGCGACGAGGATGAATTGGTAATGGTTTCAAATGCAGCCCTCTCCTTATCGCCCCTTTCATTCCGGTTACACGTTTCCATCAATCACAAGGATGGAGGGCAACATCTTCCAAAAGGCAATTTTCGTTTTGGTTCTGCGCGCACTCGCTTCAAACAGTATCCAACAGTTGCAGGGGTGGAAGCTGGCGGTCTTTACACTGCGCCTCTCGCTTGAGGTTTCCTCACAGTGTCTTTCGTTTTGCGAAAGAGTTGCACGAATGGAGGGCGGCGTGTTTGCAACATGTAGCCCTCATTTGAGTATTCTCGCGAGTTCGACGTTGTGCAACATACGAGTGGAGACCTGAACAGTTTCAGAAAGAGGTGATCGTTTTTCTTTGAATGCAGTTCTGTTACTTCTTAATTGTCGTGCAACTAGAAGGATGGACGGTTGATCCTTTACAATAGGTTCGTCATCCCAGTCGTCTGTGATCCTGCCACCCGTATGCCCCCCCCGGAGGACCCGCTGACGTACCGCGAGGAGCTTCGCGAGCGGGGGGGGTCGCCCAGGGGGCCAAAGGATGGGTGGCGGAGGATGGAGGGAGGAGGACAACGGCGGAGGAGGATGGAGGAGGGGGGGGATGGCGGAGACGAGGGAGGAGCAGGGAGGCGGAGGAAGAGGGGAGGAGGAAAAGGACGATGGGGGGGGGAAGGAGGAAGGAAGGAGGCCGGGCGGATGGAGGAGGGAGAAGGGAGGAGGGGGGATGACAGCCTGCCTCCCCTGCGGGAGCCGCCCTCCTTGTGGGGCGGCGGATGGGTCTGCCGGTTCCCATTTAAAATGCGCCCGGCGCGCGGCAGACATGTGGCCGCCGAGGGGAGGAGGAGGAGGAGGAGAGGAGGAGGAGGAGGAGGCGTAGGGAGGAGGGAGGATGGGGGGGGCGGAGGAGGCGGAGGGAGGAGGAGGAGGAGGAGGAGGAGGAGGCGTAGGTGGAGGAGGAGGAAGGTCGGAGGAGGAGGGAGGAGGAGGCGGAGGAGGCGGAGGATGGGGGGAGGAGGAGGAGGAGGAGGAGGAGGAGGAGGAGGAGAGGAGGAGGAGGAGGAGGAGGAGGAGGCGGAGGAGGAGGAGGAGGAGGAGGAGGGGGAGAGGAAGGGAGGAAGAGGAGGAGAAGAGGAGGAGGAGGATGCTGTTGTTGATGTTGTTGTTGGTGTTGTTGCTGTTGTTGCTGTTGTTGGTGTTGATGTTGTCATTATTGCTGTTGATGGTGCTGTTGAACATTATTCATTCTAAAGAATAATTATTGTTGGGCCCCCTGGTGCGCGCCCCCCCTGCGCCGCCTAGGCCGCAGCTACATTTTCATCATTTTCGTGAGGAAGCCTCAGAAAAGAGGGTGTGTACAGGATCCGGTTGTTTTGTTGTAATCCGCTTTCCCTTGCAAAAAACAATAGAAAATGACATTTCTTGTTCTAATATAATCAAATTTCAAGAATCCCTTGCAAAAAATAAGGTAAAGTGGACATTCGCGCGCGCAAGACGAAATCCTTCCAAAACCTTAGTGTTCGCAGCGATTTTAACATAAAAACATCAAAAAACCAATGGTTTTTCAACAAAAAATTGTCAAAATCTCATCCCGCGCGCTCTTGCGGATTCGTAGGAAACCCAACACTTTTTAAACATTTCTGTCAAACGGGCTTTTGCGAGCAACTTTTTCGAACTTCTGCGACAACGGTTGCGCACCTGCCAGGGCCATCATCCCTGTCAAATAATACCATGCGGGACACATTCGTTTTTTCTTCGCGCGCGCACGCCGTCGTCGTCGGCCGCGGGGCCCTGAATAGTAGCCACGGTCGTCCGCATGCCACGAAGTGAAGTGTCCGAACGTCATAGGGCGGGAAGCTGGGTGTGGGTGGTGGCGAAGAGTCGTTTGGAAATTTGGTAGAGCTTGAACCGGCCCCCCCACAAAGTGGGGGTATTGCCCGCCTCCTATGAAAACCCTGGCACTGGTGAGAACGGTGTGTCCCCACGTGCTAGTAATTGGTGCTGTTGTTGTTGATGTTGTTGTTGCTGTTGTTTTTGTCGTCTTCGTTGTCTTTGTGATTGTCGTTGTTATTGTGGCTGTTGCTGTTGCTGCTGCTGTTTTTGTTACTGTTGCTGTTGCTACTGTTGCTACTGTTGCTGCTGCTGCTGCTGTTGCTGTTGTTGCTGTTGCTGTTGTTGTTGATTGGTTGTTGTTGCTGTTGAACTCTCACTACTGAAGATTAATTATCAATAGGCTGCCGCCTCTGCCGCCGACCCCGATCGAGCGACTGATTGGAATCGTGGGGGGTGGCAGTGACTCAGGTTAGTGGTCGGTAGATTGGGCGAGGTGGTAACTATAATCCAGGAGCATCGATGACCCCATCCCCGAAGGGGAAGAATGGGGTTGGACAAGGAATCGCGATAGACCATTGGCGTCGGAGCCATCATCGTTATTTTGGGTCCTGAGGTGCCGCCTGTGAGGCGGTGTCGTCGGTCTCGCCTGAGGCCTTCCTGAAATTGTGGGCATGGAGATGCCGCGCGAGAGATAGGTCCAGGAGGGTGGGGTGTTAGACGTGGTGAGCGGGCGCGGTGGTGGTGCCTGCGCCTGTGTTTGTAAGGTGGCGGGTCGCTGAAAAAGCACACAAACAGGGTTCAGGAGGGTGGGGGTGTCAGACGTGCTGGGGAGGCGCGGTGGGGGCGCCGGCGCCTGTTTCTGTAGGGTGGGGGGTCCCAAGGAGGGGTGGGGGTGTCAGACGTGGTGGGGGGCGCGGTGGGAGTGCCGGCGCCTCTTCTTGTAGGGTGGAACCCAGGAGGGTGGGGTGTCAGATGTGGTGGGGGGGCGCGGTGGGGGGTGCCAGCGCCAGTTTTTGTAGGGTGGGGGGTCGCTGAAAAAACACAGCGAGAGTTCAGGAGGATGGGGGTGTCAGACGTGGTCGGGGGGCGCGGTGGGGGAGCCGGCGCCAGTTTTGTAGGATGGGGGGTCCTTGAAAAAGTACACAAGAGGGTCCAGGAGGGTGGGGGTGTCAGGCGTGGTGGGGGAACGCGGTGTCAGGCGTGGTGGGGGTGTCAGGCGGGGTGGGGTCAGTTTTTGTAGGGTGGGGGGTCGTTGAAAATCTCACGCAGAGGGTCCAGGAGGGTGGGGGTGTCGTGGGGGCTTACTGACAAAGCACACGATAGGGTCCAGGAGGGTGGGGGTGTCAGACGTGGTGGGGGGGCGCGGTGGAGGTGCCTGCGCCAGTTGTTGTAGGGTGGGGTGTCCCTGAACAAGCACACGCAGAGGTCCAGGTTGGGTGGGGTGTCAGACGTGGTCGGGGGGGCGCGGTGGAGGTGCCGGCGCCAGTTGTTTGTAGGGTGGGGTCCCTGAACAAGCACACGCAGAGGGTCCAGGAGGGTGGGGGTGTCAGACGTGGTCGGGGGGCGCGGTGGAGGTGCCGGCGCAGTCTTTGTAGGGTGGGGGTGTCTGAAGAAGCAAACACACAGGGTCCAGGAGGGTGTGGTGTCAGACGTTGTGGGGGGCGCGGTGGAGGTGCGGCGCCAGTTGTGGGGTGGGGTGTCCGCGCAGAGGACCAGAGGGTGGGGGGTGTCAGGTGTCGGGGGGCGCGCGGCGCCAGTTTTTGTAGAACAAGTCCAGGAGGGTGGGGGTGTCCAGGTGCCGGCGCCAGTTGTTGTAGGGTGGGGTGTCCCTAAAAAAGCACGCACAGAGGGTCCAGGAGGGTGGTGGTGTCAGACGTGGTCGGGGGCGCGGTGGAGGTGCCGGCGCCAGTTTTTGTAGGGTGGGGTGTCCCTGAACAAGCACACGCAGAGGGTCCAGGAGGGTGGGGGTGTCAGACGTGGTCGGGGGGCGCGGTGGAGGTGCCGGCGCCAGTCTTTGTAGGGTGGGGGGTGTCTGAAGAAGCAAACACACAGGGTCCAGGAGGGTGGTGGTGTCAGACGTGGTGGGGGGGCGCGGTGGAGGTGCCGGCGCCAGTTGTTGTAGGGTGGGGTGTCCCTAAAAAAGCACGCACAGAGGGTCCAGGAGGGTGGGGGTGTCAGACGTGGTGGGGAGGGCGCGGTGGAGGTGCCGGCGCCAGTTGTTGTAGGGTGGGGTGTCCCTAAATTAGCCTGGCGAAAGACCCAACCATAAGCAATTGTTAATACCGCAATTGTGGGCATCATCTTCGGTGGAGCTCCCTATGGGGCCACGAACCGTGTGAGGGGTGCGCCAACATGGGGCGGGGCCGCCATGCGGCCCCCTACCGCTGGGGCCTTCGGTGGAGCTCCCTATGGGGCCACGAGCCGTGTGAGGGGTGCGCCAAAATGGGGCGGGGCCGCCATGCGGACCCTGCCACTGGGGCCTTCGGTGGAGCTCCCTATGGGGCCACGAACCGTGTGAAGGGTGCGCCAAAATGCGGGGCCGCCATGTGGACCCTGCCACTGGGGCCTTCGGTGGAGCTCCCTATGGGGCCACGAACCGTGTGAGGGGTGCGCCAAACTGCGGGGCAGCCATGCGGACCCTGCCACTGGGGCCTTCGGTGGAGCTCCCTATGGGGCCACGAACCGTGTGAGGGGTGCGCCAAAATGCGGGGCCGCCATGCGGACCCTGCCACTGGGGCCTTCGGTGGAGCTCCCTATGGGGCCACGAACCGTGTGAGGGGTGCGCCCCAATGCGGGGCCGCCATGCGGACCCTGCCACTGGGGCCTTCGGTGGAGCTCCCTATGGGGCCACGAACCGTGTGAGGGGCGGGCCAAAACGCGGGGCCGCCATGCGGACCCTGCCACTGGGGCCTTCGGTGGAGCTCCCTATGGGGCCACGAACCGTGTGAGGGGTGCGCCAAAATGCGGGGCCGCCATGCGGACCCTGTCACTGGGGCCTTCGGTGGAGCTCCCTATGGGGCCACGAACCGTGTGAGGGGTGCGCCAAAATGCGGGGCCGCCATGCGGACCCTGCCACTGGGGCCTTCGGTGGAGCTCCCTATGGGGCCACGAACCGTGTGAGGGGTGCGCCAAAATGCGGGGCCGCCATGCGGACCCTGCCACTGGGGCCTTCGGTGGAGCTCCCTATGGGGCCACGGACCGCGTGAGGGATGTGCCGAAACAGAAACATGCGGAGGGCAGAGGCAAGGGGGAGGGAGGGGGCAGCGGGAGGAAGGAGGAGGAACGCGGGGCACCGTCTCTTCAAAACGAGGACCCAACACCACAGGATGGTTGGGAAAAAGCACGCACAGAGGGTCCAGGAGGGTGGGGGTGTCAGACGTGGTGGGGAGGGCGCGGTGGAGGTGCCGGCGCCAGTTTTTGTAGGGTGGGGGTCCCTGAAAAAGCACGCACACAGAGGGTCCAGGAGGGTGGGGGTGTCAGACGTGGTGGGGGGGCGCGGTGGAGGTGCCGGCGCCAGTTGTTGTAGGGTGGGGAGTCCCTAAAAAAGCACGCACAGAGGGTCCAGGAGGGTGGTGGTGTCAGACGTGGTGGGGGGGGCGCGGTGGAGGCGCCGGCGCCAGTTGTTGTAGGGTGGGGGGTCCCTGAAGAAGCACACACAAAAGGTCCAGGAGAGTGGGGGTGTCAGACGTGGTGGGGCGGCGCGGTGGAGGGGCCGGCGGCAGTTTTTGTAGGGTGGGGGGTGTCTGAAGAAGCAAACACACAGAGGGTCCAGGAGGGTGGGGTGTCAGACGTGGTGGGGGGGGCGCGGTGGAGGTGCCGGCGCCAGTTTTTGTATGGTGGGGGGTCCCTGAAGAAGCACACACAAAGGGTCCAGGAGGGTGGGGGTGTCAGACGTGGTGGGGCGGCGCGGTGGAGGTGCCGGCGCTAGTTTTTGTAGGGTGGGGGGTCGTTGAAAAAGCACAGAGTCCAGGAGGGTGGGGGTGTCAGACGTGGTGGGGGAGCGCGGTGGAGGTGCTGGCGCCAGTTTTTGTAAGGTGGGTCCCTGAACAAGCACACACAGAGGGTCCAGGAGGGTGGGGGTGTCAGACGTGCTGGGGGGGCGCGGTGGAGGTGCCGGCGCCAAGATGGCCTCGGGGACGCGAGTACCGAGTACCGTTTTGGGAAGGGCCTGTGTGATACCCTCATTTTATTCCCGCCAAGGGTGTGCGCAGCACCTACTCTTGCCGTAACTTGGGGGGCTTTTTATACTGACGGTGTGCGCGGCGCGTTAATTCGCAGTAGCACAAGGAATGCTGCCTTGCGGTTCTCGAATGCTCGCCCATGAAATACTTGTGTGAAGGTGACAGTGCAGCGAAGTCTGCTTCCCCTCACCTAAGGCTATTGTTTTTGTGTGGTCCTCACGTTGTGCTCCTAAGAGAGACTCCTGGTGACCGACTTCCACATGTGCCTGATGGTGGTCGTTTCACTCCGAACAAGCCCTTCGAGGAGCGGGCCTTTTGAGCCACCTTAATGGATGGGTCTTGGGCCTTGTTCATTCTTAGGGGCGGGGGATGGGACATGGAGTTGCGCGTGGAGGACGCGACGCTCCCGCGACCGTTTGTTGTATTGTTTCTCTCTTTCTCTATGCTGCTCTCTGCTACAGTTGCATGGGACCCAGTCTCCGTCCCTGAGGCCACGAACGAACGAACGAACGAGGAGGAGGAGGAGGAGGAGGAGGAGGGCGAGAAAGTGTACGCGCGCCCGTTCATGGGCCTGGAGCTGGCCCAGCTGGGCTTCCTCCTCCTCCTGCCCCCCCTCTCGTTGGCGTCCAGCGCGGAGGCCCAGGAAGGCAGTGCGTTGGGGGGAGGGGCGCGGGTGCTGGCGAGAGTCCCCCGCGCCGACGCGCTGGGAGCGTTTCGCCTCGTCGAGGCCGAGCTCCCCGCAGTCCAAAGGGGAGGCGCCTCTGCGCGAAAGACGCGGAGGAGCCCGCGGCCGATTGGCAGCGCCGACCGAGACTCGGAAGCGGAGCTGGTCCAGTCAGGCCCCGATGCTGGCTTCAGGCCGCCGTCTCACCTGCCGACCTACTTGCCTGCCCACCAACATACCTACTGGCCGACCGAGCGACCGACCGTTCTACCTCCCTACCTACCTCTTGGGGCGTCCACGAGGAGGGGGGGTGAGAGCCAGGGGTGTGTGGATATCAAGGCTGGGGCACTGAATTCTCCCAGACTCCGTGGCCCCCTAGTTCCTCTTTGAGCAGGTCCCCTGGCACCCGCTCGTGCGCGCACGAGCCTCGGGCCATCATGAGCCAACCCCCGTCCTGGTGGCCTGGCTCTTCGGCGCACCTGGTTCTCTCCCTCGGGCCCCCCCGATCCGCGAGGGGAGGTGAGGGGGGGGGGGGCGGCTGGGTATCGGTGGTGCTCGGGCTGTGTGCAGTGGCTCGGGAGGGAAGGGGGGAGGGAGGGAGGAGGGTTACGAGGGAGGGAGAACGGGAGGGAGAGAGGGAGGGAAGGAGGGAGGGAGAGGGAGGGGAGGGAGAGAGGGAGGGAGGGGACGGAGGGGAGGGGAGGGAGGGGGAGGAGGTCGCTTGGAGGCGAGGAGGGACAAGGGCGACAGGAGAGGGCGCACGCAGCGGCTGCTGCCCTCCCAGGTCGGTGTTCTGGTGGCAGACTACCGTGTGCTTCATCCGAAGGGTGCCGGCGCACTTCCCGCCAGACCTCCTTGGCCGAAAGGCTCGGACGTGGGGGAGAGTGGATGGAGGTTCGGGAGGCAGGGGGGCAGAGGCAGAGAGAGAGAGAGAGAACACGATCCCCCCTTCGCCAAGTGCGCGTATCGGAAGCGATCGTGGCTCCACCCAAGCCGGTGCACCAGCTGACGATCTGCGAGCGTGCCGCGGGGCTGATTGTTCTTCGAGCAACGGATCTGCAACGAGCAGCAGGCATCGGCAAGAGAGTAGACCTCGGACATGGTGCAGTCCAACAGAGGCTGTCACTAAACCCAGGCATCACTCTTATGCACTCCGACAGGCACAGGCTCAGGCTTGCAACTCCGAGCCGACAGGTACCCCATCGCAACAACCTGGCATGTAGGCCCACGTACACGAATGCGACACCCACCTTACCGATGTGGAGGCTACAATTTCGAGAACACACCGAGGCAGACAACCTTGCAACATGCAGTTCTGGCAAACGATCAGGTAGCGCTCTCCTCTCGTGCCTGTTTCATATTCTGGATCGGAAGCGAGCGCGACTCCTTCCATGGGGTCGCATGCTCCTCGAAAACGCCGGCAGGATAGTGGATGTGTGGACGAGAGGGTAGATTGACCATGGGCTCCAGGATGCGAAGGTCAATGACATGTTTTAAGAGAAAAAGAAAGAGAGGAAGAGGTAAAGACGGGAAGGGTAAGAGAAATAGAGAGAGAGAGAGAAAGCGAGACAGGGAGAGAGTGTTGATAAGGAACGCGCGCACGCATCCCCCCCCCGCTCAGGAGGATTATGGGGTCTAGGATGCTCCTGTGCGCGCTCGCGATGCTCGTGCCCCAGCCCCCCCCACACCTGCGTCGCTTGCGCCCGAAAATGACGCCCTCCTAGCCTCTACCCCCATGCCGCCCTTCTTAAAAGAGGAAAAGTGACATGCGTCGCACCCGCAGAAATCTCCCTGTACGACTATGAGCTTTTGGGCCTCGCGCCGCGATAGAAATCTCGCGCGTCGCTGCGCGATTGGTCAGATGTCGAGCGCGTCGCGCCATGCGCGGCGGCGCAGAAGCGTCACGTCGGCAACGGAATGCACTTTTTCTCGCTGGGTTTGGCGCTCGGCACCAGGCAGATCCCCCGCGCGCGTGCGACTGGGCAGCGCTCGCGCGCAGAGGGCAGGACTCGCGCGTCGAATCGGCGGCGGTCTCGGAATGTGTTTGCGTGCGGGGCTTCCGCTCCGCGAAGCAGGTGGCGCTTCGCTGCGCGACTCTCGCGATGTTCGAGGCGTCGTTTTGCATGTCAAATCTAGCGCAGGCGGTGCGCGATCGAGCACCTGCACACATATATATATATATATATATATATATATGCCAGTATGTCTGTTTGTCTGTACGTATGTGTACATATGTGTATATATGCGGGTATGTATGTATATGTATACTTATAGATGTATACACATGGATTTGTATATGTATAAGGGTATGTGCATAGATGAGTAGACGTATCTGTATATGCATATGCGTATGTATGTGTATGGGTGCATGCACATGTGCATGTAAATGTACGTATAATGCACATGTTCATACATATAGATATAGATATATATATATATATATATATAGAGAGAGAGACCTGTACATGTACATGTACATGTACATGTGTGTGCACAGGTGTAGTCATAGGTATATGTGCACGTATATGTACGTGTACATGTGTTGTACATGTAGGTGCATATGTATATGTAGGTGCGTGTGTGCATGTACATGCATACGTATATGTATATGCATGTGTGGATGCACGCTTTGCATATGGGCATATGTATATGCATATGCATATCTCTATGCATATGTACATGTGTATGTGTATACGTTTATGTATGTGTAAACGTATATGCAGATGTATGTGTATGTATATAGGTGCAGGTGTAGGTGTAGGTAAAGGTATAGGTATATGTAAATGTGCACACATATGCATACATCATATAGATACATCGGCCCCCCGCCGTCCTGGGCCAGCCGACCCCGCAACCATCGGCGGAAGCCCTTTGATACCCCCCGCGCGTTTCGTTTCCCAGATGCGCCCCGGAGTGGCCAAGAGGGTGCCAAAACGAGCCAAGAGGGTTCCAAGAGGCCCCCAGATGGCGCAAGAAGGTCCCGAGCTGCCCAATACGACCCAGGAGGACTCCCAGAGCACTCCTTAGAGGAACCGAAGAGGCACAAATCAGTGAATTCCAATTGGAAAACGTACATTTGTAGCACGTGCGACTTTTTAGTTTTCGCGGCTCTCACGACGGTCCAAGAGGCTCCTAAGATTCCCCCGGGACAGCCCAATACGTTCCTAAGAGGCCCCCGAGCCAGCCCAAGATGGCGCCAAGACGGCCCAAGGGCCGCCTAAGACGGCAAAGTTGGCCCCAAGACGGCTCCCAAGACGGCTCAAGAAGGCCCCGAGTCGCCCAAGACGGCCCAAGACGGCCCCAAGACGGTCCAAGAAGGCTCCGAGGCGTTTTAAGAGGCCTCTAAAAGCACTCCCAGGAGGGCCCCAAGAAGCCACAATCGTTGAATTCTCCCGGGAAAACGTACATGTTTATCATATGCGATGTTTCGGCCTTCACAGCTTTGAAGATGGCCCAAGGGGTTCCCACGACTTGCCCGAGAGAGTCTAAGACACTCCCATGAGGCCCTGGATGTTCTCATGGGTCAGCGAGGTTGGTCTGACTCCACGGGGTTCTTTGAGCAAAAGGGTTCTGAGGGCCTCGTGGGCCCTGGGGACCCGCAAGTGAAGCCCCCCAGGCGTGTCCCACGATCGGTCCGCCGTAGGCTGGCCCAGGAATATGATCGCCTAGGCTGCCGCCACACTCTGTTGAGTTTCCGAGTCCCCCTGTTCCTGGATTCAGCGCTCGTGGATGCCTCGGAGAGGGTTAATACGGAGGCGCGAGTCTTAATGCTATTGGGAGGCCACAGCCTGCTCAGGATGAAGGCTTGGGGCGAGGGTGAAGCTCGGGTGGGCGGGAGTGGTTGGGTGATGCGTTGCTTGAAGTGTGGGGGCTACGCGTGGGCGGGACTCGACAGTCTTCGCCGAGTCTGTCCGAACGCGCCGCCTACCTAGGACCTCAAGCAACCGCGTTCCAGAGTTTTGAAGGGTCTCTTCCCGAGCTGGGCCAAACAGTACCGCGCGTGGACTCTAACGGAGCCTCAGCTGCCTGCGCCGTCAGACATTCTTAGCTTTGTCAGAGTTGCGAAGAAGGGCATACTGGTCCAAGAGGAACAGCCCGTTGTTTTTTGTTTGAGGACCAGACCAGGAGCGAGCGATGAAGCGTCCCTCAATTGCTCACCAGGTTTGGACTGATGCAGACAGTCCGTCCTGATCTCCCGCTGAGCGGGGATTCGGGCGAAGTTTTCCCGCTGCTCGGGGCGACTGGCATCGACAGACGCTTCCATGGAGTATAGTACAGTACAGTACAGGAGGAGGAGGAGGAGGAGGAGGAGGAGGACGACGAGGAGGAGGACGACGAGGGGGAGGAGGACAAGATACGTGCGCTCGCGTCATATCTGACATCCTACCCCTCCCTCCCATCCCTTACCATGGCGCAGATCCCCTCTCTACTCGCTCAGTCGGATGTCGAGCAGGGCAATGATCCCGAAAGGGTACGCGATGCATTGTAGAGCACGGCGTGGCATGGCGTAGAAGAGCACCGCAAAGCGTAGTATCAACCAAGCATTGCATTGCATGCCGTGGCATTGCACGGGAAATGACGCCAGCGCTGCAGCGGGAGCACGAGTCGAAACGAGCGGAAGCGCGGAAATGAAGCCAGCGCTGCAGCGGGAGCACGATTCGGAACGAGCGGAAGCACGGAAATGGTGCCAGCGCGAGAGCAGCATTTTGGGAAACAATGCATGCGAAAACCCAATTCCGGGGAAACTTGTGTGTAAAAAACCGTACGCGGGGGGGGCGGCCACTTTCAAACCGTCATCAGGGGAAGAGGGAGAGTAGTATTCATATTGAGTAATTGTGGAAGAGGAGGAGGAGGAGGAGGAGGAGGAGGAGGAGGAGGAGGAGGAGGAGGAGGGAATGAGGAGGGGAAGAGGAGGAGGAGGAAGAGGAGGAGGAGGAGGGGCAGGAGCAAGAACAGGAGCAGGAGCAAGGGAAGGAGGAGGAGGAGGCGGAGGCGGAGGAGGAGGAGGAGGAGGTAGAGGAGGAGCAGGAGCACGAGCAGGAGCAGGAGCAGGGGAGAGGAGGAGGAAGAGGAAAGCAGAGGAGGAGGAGGTGGATGAGGACAAAGAGGAGGAAGGGAACTAATACTAGTATTAAGAAGAAGAACGCAAGCAATTTGAACAGTAGCGGTATGACTAAGAACCACGAGCCTAGTAATGGTAATATTAGTACCACTACGCACAACAACTATAATACGAATACGACGGGTATTTTTGTTCTCAGTAATAGAATAATAGCAAGCATGTATGTGTAATATTAGCAACATTGCTGCTGACAGTACAAATCACATTTATATTTCGAACCGTAAACTACCATTCAGTCTAATATTTATCATACTACTAGGAAGGCTGTGCATATTATTAGCAGGAATCGTAGTAATAATGGTAATAGTGGCATTACTAATAATAAGAACATCAATTCGAATAATACGATTACGAATGCGAACAATAGGTATAGTACTACAACCAATA